TGCAGGTGCAGGGTTTTTCCAGGCCTAGCAGAATGGCGGGGGAGGTGATCCAAGCCCCCCCCGAGAAGGGATAGAGTGTCTCAGGAGAAGTCTAGGCAGACAGTATGAGGATGAGGATGAGGATGAGGACAACGGGCAAGGAGCAGCTACCAGGGACCATGGAGGGAGAGCAAGGCATGGAGACAAAGGAGAGCGGGAGCCCCCTGGGGGGCGCTTCCAGGGTCTGCAGGACTGGAGCAATGACAGGTGGCAGGAAGAGAGAAGTGAGAAGTGCAGTGAAAGTGATAGGTGCAGCATCCAAGGAAGTCAGCGGTGGGCTGGAGAAGCAGAGAGGAGCCGAACTAGGAGCCGGTGTGGAGGCAGAGGCCCAGTTCCAGAGTCAGGGAGAGGAGGTATCAATGCAGTGCTTCGGTTCCAACCCACAGGAGTTCAAGAGGTCAGCGAAAGGATACCCGGGGACGGGACAACAGGCAATCAGGCAGCACAGAGAAAGGGATAGCAGAAGAGATGAAGGTCAGGTAAGGCACCAAGTGGACAGCACTCCTTGGCCTTCCGAGGCTGGGGGCCCTGGCGGTGAGTCAAGAATTGCTTCACACACTGGGAATTCACTGGGTTAATTAACATCAAAGTCATGGCAGGAGAAGGGGTTTCATCACAGTGGTTCCAAAGGGTATTGTTCCCATGGGTTGCAAGGGAGATAGAGAACGGGTCAGAGGGGGTGACAATGCGCAGGGAAGGGGCGGTTAAGTCAGTAACAGAGATGGCAGACAGGTCAGGGGGCAGTCAGTAGTGGGCGGCGAGTTTACTGATGTGTCGCGGCAAAACGTGCGCGTGTCCTGCGCGGGGCCTTTGGGGGGTGTCACTTGAAGATAGGGGTAAGATATATTTGGAATGGTGCCCGATTCCTAATGAAGAGAGGAGTGTTCCAGATATGGGAGAGTCAGGGTGTCATTGGGAGCATCAAGAAAAGAACACCTAAGGCATGTAGAGTACTCGCTGGGGCTTCAGCCCCGCGTTTGTGGATCAGAGCAGCACCGGTGATGATCCGGACGTCGATGCCGCTGGCTAAGGCAATACGCCCATGGATAGGCACTAATTTGATGGATGGGATTGTTGGAGGGGGGGGATTGGCTATTCTATTAAAAATGAGAGATTGAGAAACAGCTGGGATTGGTTTACGAGCAGTCATGCTTGGAAGCCCAATTGGGGATGGGGGTGGGCCCGTTTCAACCCACCAGTCGTGGAGCGGGGGTGTCTCCATCGGGGGTGGTCCCCTAGATAGGGGCGGGCATATTCTGTTGCTACACAACTTATCGCACCCGAAAGGGGCATGGGGAAAGGAGGCATCGACGCGGCCCGGTTCTGTATCTCAGGTATCATTTGGCCATGCTGTTGAGTTGGTTCGGAGGAGCAGGACGCGTTTGGTTATTGGGTAGCATGTGTATAGGTGCCTATTGGTGAACTCTACTTGCCAAGGGGCAGTTCCATGTCATGTTCCTATGTTGGAAGTGGGTTCCGTTGGGCAGGGGGTGGGGGAAAGAGGATTCAGGAGAGGGCTCATTAGTACAGTTTCCGGGAGCTAGCTTGCTGTGGGGCTCGGCTGGGCCAGGCCATGGTGGACTTACATTACGGTCACGGGAATCCTACTGCACATCTTTGCGGGGTGAGTAACTGTTTTGGTGGTAAGGGAATGTCGATTGCCTACGGGCAGTTGAAGGCGCTATGAGAGGTAGGGCGAAGGTTCGCAGGTTCCAGGCGGTTCCAGGCGGTTCCAGGCGGAGGCGCATAAGGCAGGCTCAAATCCACAAATGGCGGCCCCTGGGGGCATGGGAGGAAGGGCAGGCCAGTTGGGAGGCAATGTGGCAGCTCAGGAAGCCAGGCTTGGAGAGTCGGTACTGAATCCTATGGCACCGGGCAAGGGGATTGCCTTGGGAAGGCTTAGTCTATGAGACGAGGCGGTTGGTTGTCACTGGTGGATCCCAGTCAAAGGTGGGGAGAAGGGTTACCTTGCAATGGTTCCAATCGGCAACGGACAAGAACATGGCGGCTTTGGCATCAAGGTTTGAACGGAACGATTAGGAAGAAGTGTGGGACCGTTGTCTCGTACGTCAGGGATAGCTGGGCATGTGAAGGGTTGTTCATGGGTCGGTGCCGGTCGAACATAACACTGGGTGAGCGTGCAGAAGGTAGTGTGTTTGTCTACTTTCGAGCTGAAGTTTGTTTTGGGGGGCCTTCTCATGGGCTTGGGGCAATTTGGGTCAGGGAGTTGGTGTGGGCCCTTTGGGTTGGTGTTGGGGGGTTCTACACTCGGTTGTCGAACTTCAGTCGGTTAAGGTATGGATTCAGTGGGTTCACAGGAACGAATCTGCCGGTAAAGGAGGTTTGGGGCAGCTATGTTCTTTGCCGGGGCACGGGTATGCCCATTTTTTCAAATGCATCACACTACGTGGAGATTCGCCTGGACATCCCGGGTGGCTTACTAGTAAAAGGGGACGGAGCGGAGCTGTCACAAGTCCGATTCTGGCAGGGGTTTTGTTCGAAGGGGTCTGGCGACATTGGGTTTTGAGTCCCGAGCACTTTGGGGCCCATTCCTATCAGATGATGGTGGCGACAGAGGCGTCCCGCCTGGGTTTTTAAGGGAGGATCAAAGGAATCGTTCATGCAGGTCGGAGTCAGTCTGGTTAAGTCCTGTTTACGGCCGGTGTATGTGGTTAAAGGTTGGGACACAAAAGGTTGTGTGCTAAGCTTGATAGCTAATTACTTTAGTTTTGGTAGTGTGGTAGATGTACCACTCGCTCATCTGAAGGGCGCTGAAGAAAGCCATGGCACAGGTCAAGGGGCGCAATGGGGCTGTCCTCTGGAAGTGGTGGAGCTGGAGTGGTTGGTTTTTCTTGGGGGTTTGTTGGTGGCAAGACATTAGTTGAAAAAATTTGGGGAAGGTGACGTAGGGTACGGTTCATGGCATTCGGGTATTCAGCGAGGGTGGGACGGATAACTGCATGGTCTCGACAAGGAATTGGTAAGGTGGAGGCAGGGGGTGGTGGACCGGCTACAGAAGCTGGCCACAGGTGTGGTGGTAATATGGCCTGAGATGGTTCTTCGGTTACATTGGAGACATACTCGGGTCCCGGTCGTGGTGGCTCATTGTCCATAACAATTGATGGCAGTATTTATTGGAAGTGGGGGGCGATGTAACAGGGAGACACATTGGATGGGGAAGCAAGCTCACTGGGTACTCCAAGGTGGATGGGGCACGTTTCGGTTGTAAGGGGTGATCTGTTTAGATTGGGCCTTTAGGAAGGCATTCAACAGGCCTTCTTCTGGTGGTGGGGGTTGCTCAGGAGCTTTAAGTGTCAAGTCCTGAGCTGTGGTGGGGAATGGCCTGGTTAAATCGGAGGGCAGATGGAGGAGAAAGTGGGCATCCTGTGGTTTTAGTGTGGATTGGACAGTGTTGCACGTGGTTGGTAGGTTCAAGCTCATCGGTGGCTCCGAACCTGGAGGTGTGGCGGTGTCTTGGTACACCCCTACAATTGATATGGTGGGTAGCGGTGTCTTGGTACAGCCCTACAATTGATATGGTGGGTAGCGGTGTCTTGGTACACCCCTACAATTGATATGGTGGTTTGCGGTGTCTTGGTACACCCCTACAATCGATATGTTGGGTAGCGGTGTCTCGGTACACCCCTACAATTTGTGGAAACGTTGCCATATTGGGCAGCCAGTTTCTGTATTAACATGTTATTTGGATTGTTATCTATTGTTATTATTGCTAGGGGAATGTTATGTACATGGGGGATGTTACCTTTAATAAGGTCTGTTTGCAATGACCCCATTCGTTATTCATTAATTATTTTATTTATAATTTAATAAAGCTGTGGACTAATACTTCCAACAATAAAACCTGTGTCCGTGTCTTTATGGGGGTTGGGTAAGGTGAGCACAAATGCCGGCAAATCCGACTGTGCGTCTGTCATGTTTCACACCTACAACACTTGTTACGCAGATCTAAGTGATAGAAAACAGATTGATATTTTCTACACTAGAAACTACCCGATAACAAGCTGCTATATTTAAACCAGTTATCAATAGCTAAGAGGTACTTAAACAATATTGTAATTCTGGGGCAATACCCTCACAAGTCAAACTGAGAGGTCAGTTTATATGGAAAACTGTTGCCTGGATACAATTCTAAAACCATTTCCATATGTCCTTTACAGACTTTACATGCTGGAAAAACACAGGTGCGAACTGCTGTGGCTTTCTGCAGTGTGCATACTGGCAAGGAGGGCAGGGTTGAGGAGTGGGTGGAAGATGATGTGGAGGATGATGAGGTCGCAGACCCCACATGGAATGAAGGTCATGCGAGTGACATGTGCAGTTTGGAGGAAGAGGCGGTGGTCGCACAGAGGCACCAGCACAGCATAAGAGGGAGCAGGGTGCAAAAGTGGAGCGGCCATCCCCTAGCGCTCGTCGGCATGTATTATCTTGAGAATTACCAGTTATCCGAGTAATACATGTAGCAATCAAACAATCCAAAATAGAGTTGAGCAAACCCGAACTGCAAAGTTCGGGTTCGTACCAGATTTAACGATCCATTCATAGTTTCACAGTCAGGTGGGCAGTCCTGTGACCAGGACCCAGACACTGTCTGGGCGGCGTTTGGACGACTGGGACCCAGTATGCCTAATGTTGAAGGTAGGAGTCACAGTGTGAAATGGATTAGCAGGGTCTGGTGCAGGATAACCGCACGCCCCCTGGTGTTGAGCACCAGCGTTTGTGCAGCCACATACCAGGACCATGATGCAGCTTCAATAAAAAGAGTACTTGATACCAGAAGCCATCACCAGACTGACCCACCACTTGGAACAGGATCTGACATTCACTGTAGTGGCTGTGCGCGCTTTTGGTGTTCTCACCCTGCTGCTGCTCGCCTGTCTGCGCTGCAGCGTAACTTCGACCTTCCCACTCACCGCCTCATGAGATTGTGCGAGCAGCAGCAGACGATAGTGGAGTTTCAGCTGCAGCACGCACGGGTCAGTGGCTCTGCACCAGACTTCCTTCCAATTGATCAGAGTTAAAGGATTGCAAGTGAACTCATTACAATTACAGGGCCTCTAAAGAGTCCTTTATTGTTATTTGTCGTCACTACCTTTACGCGCCTGCTGCCTTCCATGTGGAAGCCGTTTCTCAGGGTCCCTATATGGAATGGAACCCTGATTCCCAGTTTCCCGTGGTCGCCATGGTAGGCGCTGAAACTGGCATCAAAAGTTGATATGGATGACATCCAAATGCAGTCACGGGGATGTGCAATTGTCCTGAGGTTCTCTAGAGTCAACAAAGTGCCTGCGCAACTATAATGTCAACAGCTACTCTGCGGAACAGAATCTTTTCTTTTATATGTCCCAATATTTTGTGGGCTACCACAATAAAAAAAAATATATTGTGACAGAACCAGCTGCCTGCTTGTATTTTAGTTGCATTCGTCTGTTTGTATCCCGTTCGTATGAATGGCTGTTTTCTATAGCCCAGCCATTCGAATGACTTTTTTCCCGAACAAACCTGCCGAACGGACGGCCCCCAGGAGAGAAGTGTGCTGCTGGTTAACCTATTGATCCCAATTAGAACGTTGTGGTTAACCGCAGACACTTCTCAATTAAACCGAATTCAGGGTGGTCGTCGTTTGTATGTCGACCACGAGGCAGCGGCCATTTTAAACCACGCGAAAGCCCAGCTGATTTTGGCTCTATTTCTATGGAACTAAAAACGGACACTTTTTCTGCCGAACACCGCTGAAACAACGGAACGCCTGGCTGTCTCCACGAAAGCATACGAATACCGGCCATTTGGGAGGTTTGGAGCATACGAAAAGCCTTAACCCAGATAGCCCTCCCATGGAGTAATTTGTATACCGAAAGACTGTAAGAACTTTGACTCCATGGCGATTGAACTATGTGTGTGGGATCTGAGCGCTATTCGCTAATAATATGCACTCAGATCCAGGCTATCTGGGGATATGTGATACGAATGGGAAATGTTCAGTTATTTTAAAGTTATGTATTTTTATGTCTTTTATGATGTTATATTTAAAATGGCAACTGGCTTTGTCCTGGAGATAATTGAGTTACTCTGTAATTATCTCCAGGGCAGAGGGGAGGGAATCATAATGCACTGTGGGTAAAATCTGGGACTGTGTGTCTGGAATGTCCCCATATCTGTCTGTCATTTACGTTTCCCATTTGGTCCCCTAGGGGAGTGTCCACTAAGTGGGAGACCTGCATATATACGGGCAGGTAGCCCACAGTAAAGCCAGATCCTATTTGACCCTCAATGCGGAGCTTCTGTTTAGTTATTGGGGAGATTTCTTCTTCACGTTTAGAGACTGCTGGATGGAACCGAAAGCCGCTTGGTGGATATTGTTGTTCGGCTGCTAGCAGCAGTTCGTGTATTGCCGTTGGGGAGTTTGGAGCCGTTCATGGATCCCGTTCGGGAGATTGCCGCTTCCCCTGCATTTGGTTCGTGCACTACAGGTTAGGCAAAAGGAGTTACTGTTATTGCAGAGGGGGAAGGTCTACTAAACGGCGGTTTTGCCTAAAGACACTGGAGGTGTCTTAACATATATATATATACCGCTGCTCCACCTACACCACCACGGTCACCACCTCCTCAACCTATGGGTCACTTAGTATAAACTATGTACACAATAGCAGAGGCTTGTGAAGGCCTTTTCTCCATGCATCAGGAGATGAGCATTTCTCCATGCATCAGGACTCCAAGAAATGCACCGCAGGCCGCAAATGTTTTTTTTTTATATGTCCCAATATTTTGTGGGCTACCACAAATTAAAATATATATATATATATATATATATATATATATATATATACATATATATATATGTGACGAGAATAATCTCGCCACATTGCATTGGAGAAGCCTGGTTGCTTGCCTGTTGCCTTTGGATTATGGCCCCATGTTAAAAGGCTTGATTGTCCCCTGCAAAGACAAGAAAGCCGGGTCATTTGGTGCTTGCCCTGTTTGAGCAGTGATACCCCAGATAGCTATGCCATGGAGCCCATTCGTATAATGAAAGACTATGGGGAAGACTTTGGCTCCATGGCAATTGAACTGTATGTGTGTGCTCTGAACGCCATTCAGTAATAATGTGCGCTCAGACCTAAGCTATCTGGGCATATGTTGCATGTCTGTATTTTATGTCATAAATGTAACCTTGTGTATTTTATTGTATTTTACTGTCTTTTGCTGCCATGTGTTCAATGGAGTTTTGCCTCTGTCTTTGGAGATAATTGGATTACTTCTAATTATCTCCAGGATAGAAGACTCTGTGGAACTGGTTTTGGGCAGAAAAGCCATGCTTCCTGTGGTCACAAAGGACTATGATCTATCTTTTGAACCACTTGACCAATTTGTATGATTTTGACGTATGTTTGTATTTGGAGTATGCTGATTCTGAAAATGTAATGTTTTATGTGAATGTGATGCATACTTTTCAAGTTATGAATAATGTGGAAAAATTGTATTTCTCTGCTTGTGCTAATTAAATTACCCATTGTGTAAGTTAATTGTATCACAGGCAGAAGGGAGGATTTTGTGTGGGAGTGTCTGAATGTATTGTATATGTTTATTGGTTGTGTTCCAAAACCCTGTGGGTGGTACTAATGTGTAAGAATGTGTACATAAGAACAATAAACCCACAGCTCTGTCTGTTCAGAGCTTTGTCTCGTTCTTGGGGGGATTTACTGTATGCTGTTAGAGACTGATTGCCAGGAGTGTAAGCTGCTTGGGTGCTTTTCCTGTTCAGCTGCTAGCAGCTATTCGTGAGGTTCCAGTTCGAGTGTTTGGAGCATTCCCTTGTATGCAGTTCGAGTGTTTGGAGCATTCCCTTGTATGCAGTTCGGGAATTTGGAGTGCTACTTGGTATCCTGTTTGGGAGTTTGGTGTTCTGCAGTAGCTGTGCCTGCATCTGTGGAAAGGGGGACGATCGCCTAAACGTTTTTTACCCCTTGTGAGCAAAACGGTCCGTTACAATATATATAAAAAATTGTTGGCTACCTCATCCTCCTCCTCCACTGCTGCTTTTTTGACCTACACCGCCACGGTCACTGCCTCCTCAACCTATGGGTCACTTAGTATAAACTATGTACACAATAGTAGAGGCTTGTGAAGGCCTTTTCTCCATGCATCAGGAGTTGAGCTCAGTTTGAACAATGAAAGAGAATACTCTGCACTCCAACCCTCTCTCAAATGGATAATTCTGGCGATCCTCCTGACAGCCATGCTTTAGATTTTGATTTATGTTCTTCCAAAGCTAAAATCAGCGATTCCATCTAGTGCTATTTTATGGCTCAGTTGTATTTTTAACTTTTATGTTATTTTAAGTGATTTTCCCACATTTGTTTGCAGGGCACTTGTCCTACTCTTATCCCCATTTTACTTGCTTTTGCAGCTCTCTAGCCCTTTACAGGAGTTTTTTAGAGGCATTTTGTGGCCAAAAGTTCGGGTCCCCATTGACTTCAATGGGGTTCGGGTTCAGGGGTCAAGAAAAAGGCTACGATAATGTAATACTATACAATACCTTAAAGGAAGTAGAGAAGATGGATCGAAAATCCCTTATTGAATATAAACTAAAAAAAAGAAAGAAATTTGAACGAGACTCCCTTTATTTGTAGTTTTAACCAGGATAATAACCAAATAACCAAGCATTGGCCCATTTTAAAAAAGGATCCAATGCTGCATAGTATATTACCAGACCAACCCCAAATTATTTTTAGAGGTGCTCCCAATTTAAAACGTTTTTTTTAACCCACAATTAAATAAAAGAGAAGAAATCTAATCCTTTTTTTCACAAACATGGCTTTTTTGGATGCGGACAGTGCTTAGCGTGTAGAAGCACTAATAGTAATAAAAGACATATCACTTCCTTTAAAGATCCTCAAAATAAAAAAGAATATAAATTAAAAACCATGACCACATGCTTCCCCAAAAGAGTTATTTATATCTTACATAGTATAATTCACATGGACATTGTAGGGAGAACAAAGCGCCCTTTACATATAAGAATAAATGAGCATGTGAGGAACATTAGGAAAGGATATGAACAACATAATGTGTCTCTACATTTCAAACTGCTACATAATAGTGATCTGAGTCTTTTAAAGTTTTTTGCTATCCAAAAAGTGGAAATTAATTGGAGAGGAGAAGATGAAATCAAAAAACTTGGAAAGACCGAAATGAAATGGACTTTTAATCTTAATACAATTATCCCTTTTGGTCTAAATGTTACATTTGGGGTGTGCCATTTTTTGTAGATATTCATCCTTTTTAACTACCTAAATTTTTATGAATACTTTCTATTTATTTATTTATTTTTTTAAATTATATATTTTTTAAGAATCATGTCTCATGACTGTAGGGAGTGTAGAGAGAAAGGATAGGGGGCACACCGAGACCTGCATTTTGCATGATAGGTGCTGCCGCAGTGACCAAACTTCATAAATGAGAGAATAAATAGTTGCGGCGCACTCAGACTACAAAAAAAAAAAATATAACACAAAAAGGCTACTAAAATGCCTATCTAAGAATAAATATGGGGATTTGGTTCCACCATATGGCCATATGTTGTTAAGCCCACCACTACTTTCAAAGTAAAAGGTGTTAAATCAAATCCTAGTAAGAGCATAGTGAGTATACAAAAAAAAAATGATAAAAGCAATTAAAAACAGTGTTAAAGCTAAACAATTAACATGTTGGTGCTAAGATGAGTATACTCACTATTGCAGATGATATCTGTGCTGACTGAAGAAAATAATAAAAGTGACCTGACTATTGAAAAAACTCCTCCTTTATATACATGTGTAGCCACCTCTAAAGGAGCCTCTGAACTGGGGGGCCTGGGTGGGGTGCTTAACGCCAAAGGAAATTCCAAATATAATATGTACAGAGAAAGGATAGGGGCACTCCCGAGACCTGCATTTTGCATGAAAGGTGCTGCCGCAGTGACCAAACTTCATAAATGAGAGAATAAATAGTTGCAGTGCACTCAGACTACAAAAAAATATAACACAAATAAAGCTACTAAAATACCTATCTAAGAATAAATATGGGGATTTGGCACCAACACGTTAATTGTTTAGTTTTAACACTGTTTTTAATTGCTTTCATCTTTTTTTTTTGTACACTCACTATGCTCTTACTATGATTTAATTTAACACCTTTTATTTTTGACACTAGTACTATTTAATTTGTCCCCCAACTTTTAGCATAGGACCAACGAATATTGGGGTATTTTGAAAGTAGTGGTGGGCTTAACAACATATGGCCATATGGTGGAACCAAATCCCCATATTTATTCTTAGATAGTCATTTTAGTAGCTTTATTTGTGTTATATTTTTTTGTAGTCTAGTCTGAACTATTTATTCTCTCATTTATGTAGGGAGTTTAGAGACATGTTGATTTATCTAAATAATTGGTTATGTTTTGGTTTATGATTATGCTATTAATATGTGAAACACATA